GTGTGTGTGTGTGTGTGTGTGTGTGTGTGTGTGTGTGTGTGTGTGTATGTGTGTGTACTATAATGAGGAAATCAAATTGTACTCCACATCACAAGTGGATACACTGTGGAAGACTGGATAGTTGAAGTCTTTGTGTAGACTCTTCTGCCATTCTGCTCTTGGGATCATCTCATTTTGTATAATAACTTCCTTGCCCCTCCTTCCCTGTTGGAGACACACACACACACACACACACACACACAGTCACACACACATTCTGTTCTATAGGGTGGAGTCTCTTAGAGCCCCACAGGTGGTCTTCCTTACCCCTCCCAACTACAAGCCTTGGATGTCCACTCTGCTTTCTACCTCTGCCCTCAGAGTGGCTGCTCTTCACTGACCGGAAGTCCTCCAAGTTGTCCTTTTGTAGCTGGTCACAGGTGCCCCTGCCTCCTCTTTGGCTCTTGTTTTTATCTCTCTGCCTCTGCCAACCCCCCTCCCCCTACAACACACAGACACAGACACACACATATTGACGCACACATACAGAGACACACAGAGACATACATATTTGACACACATGGACACACACAGACACACATTGATACACACATCAACACACAGACACACACTGATACACACATCAACACACAGACACACACTGATACACACATCAACACACAGACACACACAGATGCATACATATCGACACACAGAGACACATACAGACATAGACACACACACACACACACACACACCCCTCTGGAGTGTGCATTCATTGACTGGCCTTCCACGTGCTTGCTGACTTGTCCAGCTTTTACCTTGAGTCAGCTGGACAGCCATGACATGTCATTAAGATCTACATAAGAGTGAATCTTCTGTTGGCCGACTGGAGTTTCCTTGCTCATATTTATTTTCATATTCAGAATAATTCGGATGGGTATCTTCCTGTCACTGTTCCCTTACCCTGTTGTATGTACACCAACCCTAGTGCATACATAGACACAAATATCGTGAGTCTGTTTCTTTGCTCGTGTTTGTTGAATGAAGGAACGATTGAATAGATGCAATTTGGGGAGTTCAGATACTTAACTTTTAAATAAATAAAGGCTGAATTCATAAATCTTATTGATTCTGAAACCAATACCCCTCTTGACTTTTCAAATAAAATGTACACATATATATGTGTGTGTTTGCTATTTTTAGAGTCATTGCAATTCACGAGAAACTATCCAATCTTGCGCAAATAGCTGAGCTATCATTACCATCGGTTCCCGAAATTGCTTCAGAGGAAAATATATATGAATCAGTAGACTCTGAGGATAAATCAGCTGATACAGACATGGAAGTAAGTACATTGCTAAATGATGGCAAAATGAACTTGCAATTGTAGGGTGGATCTCATTATACACCGTTATTTAAGTCACCGTTTGCTTTGTCAGAGCGGGACTACACAACTTCATGACTCTCTGACCTTCAATTTTCTTTACTTACGCTACCAGATATGGCCAACTCTTGCGTACGCATGAGTATCACGTGCACCTGTGTGTGTGGGAATACATGCATGCATGTGCGTGCCTGTGGGAGCCACAGGTTACTCTCAACTACCATTCTTCAAGATGCCATTCACCTTGTTTCTCACGGCAAGGTATTTCACTGAACCCGGGGCTCACCAATTAGGCTAGACTGGCTGGCCAGTGAGCCCCATGGGTCGTCCTGTTTCTGCCTCCCACGCACTGGGATTACGAGCATGGACCACCAGGCTCTTATATTTTCATTTTTACCATGAGTTCTGGGGCTCAAACTCAGGTCCCCATGGTTCTAAGGTGAACACTTTACCAACCACAGCATCTCCTTGGCTCTGGCCCAGCGTACATCCTATGCGGGAGGAAAGGGGGGCAGACCACACCTCTGTCCCTCGTGATCTCACCGTGTCATGCACACTAACATTTTGTTGGTCACATAAGCCTCATGCTGTGGGTGCCAGTGACCTCACGACCAGCTTGGCAATAGGAAATCCAGAATATTACCGAAATGGCGCAAGTAGCAGGCAGTCAGGAATCATTTTTGTTTTCTTGTGTCAATTTTAGATGCGATTGATTTTCTGTTTGGATATTTTATGGTTTGGCAAATTTATTACCGCCTTCTTTCCAGCTTCTGCCGTCTCCTCACTTCTGAATTCTGCCACATCTCTGCACGTATCAGAAACTGTACCTAGTGTTTATATTTTTATAGCCCTGTAAAAAGTGCTAACAGCAAGGGGCAGGAAGACCTTTGGTTACATTCTTTTCTCGTCTGTTTGGTTTCTTGTGACTAATTTTTTTTTTTTTCCATCACTGTTTCCCACTTATTAGATCTGGATTTTCGGGTGTTCATCGATACAATTTTTGACTCAAGAGCTCAAACTGATCACATAGTGTCTCAGTCTCATTTTCTTCCTGGGCTCCCCCAGCCTCCAGCTGTTCTTTCAACCAGGCTGGAGCTTGCTGGTGTGGCTGGTTCTGGCTCTCCCCTGCTGCTCTCCTGGTGGAGGCTGGATCGGTCTGGGCCACAGCCTTGCTTTTCTACTCTGAAAGCTTCCAGGGTCTTTTCTTTAGTTTTAGTCTAGGAGATCTTTTGTTTTCTGAAGTCATTTGGCCAGGCGAATATGTAACTAGTTACCAATAATAAAACATCTTTTAATTCTTTAATCTTAAAGAATAACATTTACACGGCTCTTCATTTTTCTATTTAACTCATCTATCCACTTTTCATAGGTGAGTGAGTAAGAGCTAGCAACTTTTCTGGTTTTCAGAGAATATTTGTTGGCATTTTCAGTCTTAATTTACTAGCAAAATGACTAAATGAGTTTTCAGTTATTATGCAAGTTAGCAGCCCATATGTAAGAGAGCCCATCAGCGGAGTTCAGACAGCCTTTGTAAAAGGCTACTCTTCCAGCATTTAAGTCCATTGCACTCTTTGCCAGGATTTATAAAGAGCAGATGTCTTAGAATTCTAGTTGTGCATCTTTTTCAATGGCCTCAGATATTACCTCGCTCACCTGACTTCATCCTTTTCAGTGGCCTCAGATGTCACCATGCTCACGTGACTTCATCCTTCACAAAGGCCTCAGATGTTACCATGCTCACTGTGCTTACTGATAAACTGAGTGTGGCATTAAATCTTGCAGTAGGTCAGAGTGCCCCCACTATCTCAAACGCAGGAGATTTTAGAGAGATACAGATTATACATTTCTTGCACGAAGATCATGTGGCTCTCATGTCTGCTTTCAGGAAGAGCTCGGCCCTCTTGACTCATGCTCATCGTTTGTAGTGCACTTACCATCAGTTCTTTAGTCACAAACTCATCAGAGTGCTATCTTTGAGACACAGTCTAGAATAGTCTTTGCTTGAATTATTCCTAGTATATATCTCCATAGTTACTATATGGAAAATCATTTCCTTACAAATCTGCCCGTCTTTTTAGCTTTGATTGTCTCAGGCAGGAAAACGTCTACAATATGAGTAAGGATGCTAGACTGTGTTCTGCCAACTCTGTTTTACACCTCAGTCAGATGCTTAATCTTTTTCTAGAGCTAATTTTCTTTTCGTTTCTAAAATAAATAATCCTTTTACATAAAGACAGGCTGTTTGGATAGAACCAGGGTTTGCACGGTGACCCTGTTCAACGTAGGTGTAAAATTCATCATAAGAAGACAAATGTCCAGGTCAGGAGGTTGACTGTGAACATAAACAAATCAAGAATAAATAGGGATGTGGGGGTGGACAGAGGAATCCAGAGGACCTGTGTTTCCTTAGTGAAGGCCCATAACTTGTTCTCGCATTCTGATTGGTGTATTGAGGTCAACCACAGAGGAGCCAAGCCTCTTCAATCTTGATATCCTCCTCCGTATGTTTAAATTTGTTTCCCTCACTTAGTGTTTCCTTAGCATTAAAGTATGTTTTGGGCATGTTCCAGTTCCTGTTGTCTCTGTATGTGAAAGAACATCACCAAACAGAAGGAACTGTGCTTGCTTGGAATTGAAGTGGTAAGACAATTAGTTCACAGCATTTATGAGACGTGGAAGTAACATAGTTTTCTTTTTTTGTACACAATACTAAACAGCACTTTAAGAGAAGCTAGATTCTGGCTCATATCAAATCTCATTGACTAAATTTGTCGTCATGGCAATTCTCACTTCCAGCTAATTAGAAGCTAACTAGGACCCTTGAAGAGATCAATTCTGGTCTGGAATTGAACAGGAATTCATGGCTTCTATAATGTGATATTTCTATTAGATGTTATATATGTTGTTGGTGGGTTATTGAACATAAGGATATAAATCATGTACCTTTGTTTGCTATGTAGGGTGTGGGTTTTGTTCATTTCTTCTCCCTTTGTTTTTTCTGATGTCCTTCCTATTTTCTTTTTTTTTTTGTTTACTTTTCCAAAGTCCCTTAGGTCCAGCATAAGCCAGGGATTTTGGAACACAGATGTTAATTTAAAATAGATTAGTGAGGCTGCACAGCAGGTGTTCAGATCACTTCTAACAGGAGCAATGGCTCAGAAGACTGGTTTCTATTGCTCCACCACTTACAGCAAGCAGAACTGGCATATTACCACATAGGAAAGAACTCAGTTGTAGCTTAATTGGTAGAGTGCTTGCCTAGCATGCATGAAGCACTGGGCTCATTCTCCAGCACACCATAAAACTGGATGCAGTGGCCCATGCCTATAATTTTGGCACTTGGGAAGCAAAGGTAAGAGGATCAGGGGTTCAAGGTTATCTTTCTCACTTACATAGTGAGTTAAGTGTAGCTTGAGTTTTCCTGCCTGGCCCACAGTCAGGACAAATCTCTGTCACCCACCAGTCCCATAGCTGCTCAGATCCAACCAAGTAAACACAGAGACTTATATTGCTTACAAACTGTATGGCCGTGGCAGGCTTCTTGCTAACTGTTCTTATAGCGTAAATTAATCCATTTCTATAAATCTATACCTTGCCACATGGCTCATGGCTTACCAGCATCTTTACATGCTGCTTGTCATGGAGGCAGCTGGCAGTGTCTCTCTCTCTCTCTCTCTCTGCCTTCCTGTCCTCTCAATTCTCCTCTCTGTTAGTCCCGCCTATACTTCCTGCCTGGCCACTGGCCAATCAGTGTTTTATTTATTGACCAATCAGAGCAATGTGACACAGACCATCCCACAGCAGTTAAGGATAGCCTGATCTAAGTTAAGGATCGCCTCTGTCTCCACAAAACAAATCAACAAACAAAGGACCAAAAAATAGAAAAGTTGTTTGCAAGCCAGGGCGATTTTTAAGATATAAACACCTTATTTAGAATGAGAATATGTTGATCCAAGAAACCCACTATATGTTTGCCAAAATGCATAAGGCTACTTCAGCAAATATTTATGTAATGCCTGAACAGTATAAGTGGATTAAAATTAGCATACTATTAACAGTCCCAAATATAGAAGTACTGTGGCTACAAAAGCCTGGAGAAAAAATACACTCTGGTTTTAGCATTCTCGGCTCTTTCTGAGAAAACCATTACTGGCAAACATTTAGGGAACAGTGAGACCTATGTGTCAGAGCACTGTGTCAGAGCACCGTGGGGGAGCGTAGATGAATCTGGAGGGCAGGGCGGAGGTAAGAGCTTCTCACTCTGACCTCACTACCCAGTGCTGGAGGAGGCTGTCTTCCCCCTTCCCCTCTCTGGACTGAGAGCTCCTCAATTAAGTGTCTTGTTCCTCTCTGATTCCTGCTTCCCTGCGTGGCCTGTAGGGGGGCAGCCCACAGACGACTGAGTAAATGGTGAAGGGCTGAGGGGAAGTCAGACTGGGTTTTGGGGAATTGGAGAAGGCTGAACTCTGCTTCAACAGGCATCTCACCCTACAATGTGATAATCATGGTGGTGAGAACAGAGGGAGCAGGGATTTGAAGGCAGGAAGTGTTTCTCTCAGTGTGGGTCAGAGATGATGAGGATTCCTGCTAAGTGAATTGGCTTTGGTGTGTTGGAGTTGCTCAGAGGTCCGTGAGTCTCATAGGATTCATGGGGGTTTCTTTGAAGGGAAAAGGCCAAAGCCTGGCTAAGGGTCCCTTCAGCTCTCTCGGACCCTTATCGAAAGGAAGCAGCATGCTTCCCACTGCTTTCCGTCTAGGAATGCTGAGCTTAGTGCTTCCCCACCTCCGTGGCAGCAAGGTTATGAGAGGGACCCAAAGCTCCGGCCTCGACATGGACCAACCCCACCGAGTGTGTGTGTGGCTTACCTCACAGCCAGAGCAACACAGCATCACTGAGACAAAATTCCCCTTCGATAGATGTTGAGAAAGGCAGTAGACGGCATCTATCGGGGAACACTGCTCCGTTCATCTGTCACTGAGCTAATAGACGGTACAGACGAAGTCGTTTTGCTTGATGGTTCCTGATGAAATCATGGCAGTCACCCATCATGACTGTTACTGAAACCCTTTACATGGAGAAAACATACTTTTAACAACTCAAGAACCCAGCGAGAACTACAAGCATATAAATAAAGTAGAGCAGTGCAGGTAGGGAAGTGTGCTCCCCTCTGTATGGAAATGTGGGTCCGAACCTAGAGGGCCATCAGGGGGAGTGGTCAGTGCCGGGCCTCCTGCCCTCCCTCCATCTTTGTTAGCCTTTTGAAGCTGACCTC